TGGTATAGATAATATTGATTGTCAAATGGACAAAATGTTAAATAAAATATGGCTTCAGGCGAAAGTCCAGGGTTTTTTCCAGGATTTTTAGGGCCGTTAAGCGGCCCCAAAAAATCAATTTTGAATTGAGTTTTGAAACTCAATCTTCTAACCAAAGTTTCAGTGCAGTAAAAATGTTACGTGTGAAAATTAGTTTTCATTTGGAACCGACAAGCCATCTTTAACCAGTTTATAGTGTCCCTGCTTTAACACCTTCCGTCTCAACTACATTTATTGCGTACAGGTGTCAGCCCCCTGGTAGGGGGGGGCAGGTGCAGCCACCCCAACTGTTCAGCTAAACTCAATCTTCTCTGCAAAAACAGACCCAAGAGAAAATCCGGAAAAAACCCTGGGAGAAACTCAATTCGCTACAACACATTGCTGTGCTATCAGAACTACTATTTCAGTAAATATACAAGTTATTTTCTTAGAATGAGAGTTTTTTAAAATTAAACTGAGAATGTTAGGTGTAAATTTATCTTACTTATTTTTTTATCTAGTCAAAAGTACAGTATCTAGTTTTAAGAAAGTTAATCTTAAAATAAGATATATTTTCTTAAAACAAGAAAATGATTCATCTAGAAATATTTTCTTAATTAGAATTATTTTCTAGAAGAACTATTTTCTTAAAACAAGTTATATTTTCTTAATTTAAGATTTAATTTCTTATTATTTAAGAAAATTTTTCTTAATTTAAGAAAAATTTTCTAGTTCTAATAAAATTTCTTATTTTAAGAAAAAGTGCACTAGAAAAATGTTTCATTACTTTCTTGAAATGAGATATATTTTTCTTAAAACAAGAATATGTTTTTTCTTATTTTAAGAAATATTTTAAGAAATATTTTCTCAGTTAGAAAATATTTCTTGCTATTCTCCCTAGTAAAAAAATTCTTGTATTAAGAAAATAATTCTTGAAACAAGTTGTTTTTTTCTTGAAATAAGAAAACGATTTTTTGCCTTGTACTAGTGAGCAATAGTTTGCCACTAACCATTGGTAGATATTACTAAAGTCGGAGTTCAATTTGTCGTCCAATTCATCTACGGATTCCGCAGATGCGGAGATATTAGTGTCGTCAGCATACATGGAAGGTTTTGCATGATCAAGACAATTTGGAAGGTCATTGACATATAATAAGAATAGGAGGCGCCCTAAATTTGACCGCTGGGGAACACCACATTTAATTTATTTTCTGGTTGATTTAACGTTATTAATTTTACATGTTTGATATCTTTTTTCATGGTATGATATAAACCAATTCAAGGCACCCCCTGTAATTCCATACACTTTTAGCTTTTCAAAAAGGATTATATGATCAACAGTGTCAAATGCTTTCCGTAGATCTAGGAACAAGACTTCATTTATGAGACCTTTATCAATATTAAGGAGCCAATCACTTGTAGCATTTAAAAACGACGCTACAGTTGAATGAGATTTTCGAAAACCAAATTGGTTATCTGACAGAATGTTGTTCTCATTTATATAAGAAATTAACTGATTATAGACAGTTTTTCTAAACTTTTTTGGAATAGTCGACGAAATCGAAATAGGCCTGTAATTGCAACAGTCAGATTTGTCACCGTTTTTGTATCTGCGAAGCAGGTATATATGCTATCGCAAACGTATCGTACCGTAACGTTACGGTATGTTAACACATAGCCATTCAGCGACGAGCTTATATAATTTAAGCCAATTTAAGCCAATCAGCGATTCGTTTACATCAATTGTTTACATCGTGCCCGCATCTAACTTGCGAACGGGCATACTTTAGCCTCGTCAGGCCTCGTGTATAAATCGTGTTATTCTTTCAAAAATATCTTGATATTTTTATCAATTTATCTTGAATTGAAGTTATTTATCAACATGGAATCTTATCCTCATCTGGTAAGTAGTCAAATACCACATATTATATATTTAAATACCAAATTTGTGCAAATATATGTCCCACATATTTAATAATACATGAGTTCGCCAGTTCGGCAAATATTTACTATACTATCTATAGTTAATATTGCCACAGAATAAAGAATTGATATTGCCGTATCTTCGGCGTAGAGTTCACATGGAATGCACTCTGGAATTTTTTTATTAATATATTACACTGTATAAAATATTGGATACTTTCGAGGATATTTTAAGCCATTTGTCAACATAGTTCACAAAAAGATTTATACAGTATTAAAAACAATCCTTCTGTGACTTCACTTCTATAATATTTTAAACAGTGAAAACATAGCAGGCAATATTGCCAATTAACAATATCAAAGGAACCTATTGAACAGTTCTCAGGAGATATTGAATTAAATCCTGGTCCTGTATTTTTGTATATTGACTCCGTAACAATAGTCGATCCAACTATAAAGCTGTCATCAAATGTAGTGTTAGGAGCCGATTACTGTACATGGAGCATTTTCAACCCTGGGGTTGAACTCAGCTCTGTTTACCGGGTCGAAATTTCAGCCCTGTCTGTAATACAAAACTCTGTCAAAATCAAATGCGCGATTACATGACAAAATTTTCAACCCAGGGCTGAGTTTCACCCCGGGATTGAAATTTCAACCCTGCTTCAGCTAGCAGGGTTGAAATTTCAACCTCGGGGTTGAACTCAGCCCTGGGTTGAAAATTTTGTCATGTAATCATTTCAACCCAGGGCCGAAATTATAATGAGTTATTCGAGCATGCGTGGTAGTGACTATTTATTACAAGAAAACAAAATAAAGGCTTTTTTACTTCCGCGAATCGATGCCGAGAACGTATAGTATAACGTTTTAACCCCGGGGTTGAAATCGTCCATGTAATCGCAAAAAATTTCAACCCAGTTAACAGGGCTGAGTTCAACCCCGGGGTTGAAAATGCTCCATATAATCGGCCCCTTAGAGCAAAGGTTGAATATGTTATCAGTTAAAATACAGTAGTTAAAATACACGGTCTACCTAAATCCGCAGTACTTATACATTTTGGTTTTACTCATTATAGTTAATTAAACAAAATTTTTACAAACATTTTCAAATAAAAGAATCCTCACCCTCCCGAGCCTCATTACATTGTCATTTTGCTTTCTAACATAAACATTTTTCTTTAGATATTAGTACAAGAATGAAGAATAAATGTACTGGATATTGGCTGGATAATTTTGTCAGAACAACCAACTTGCAAGAAAATCTTACCTAAATTCATTAGTATGGAAAATAACTTAACAGCTACGATGAATAATCATATATTATATGGTGGATTTGATCAATGGCACACAATGTACAAAACTAAACTTGTGATACCTTCTACTCAAACCGATAATCTCCCACAACACAATTGTTTTTGTGTGAATGTGCTGTACGTGCTAAACCGAACAGTGTAGTATATCATTAACCGTGCACAGAACTGGAATTTAATTATATACTTCACTCATGACCTTCAAAACATTCTCAATTATTCAGTGGTCTTCGACATGTTCACCAAACATTTTGTATGTTACTCAACAGTTAACATTGGCAAGTGTAAACGACAAGTGACATAACATTTGCTTCATATGATTACAATAAAGTTTTGAAAATTTGATGAGTATGGATTAAATTGACAGGTGACAGTTTACTAAATAGCCGGCTGTATAGACACATTGAATATTGTTTGCATGAAATTTTTATTTCCTGACTGCATAATTCTCGGTTAGAATTATAATCACATTATAAAGTTGGTTAAATTTTCTCGGTGCGGGCGTGGGGGGGAGCACTTGCCCTGCCGCCATCCCCGCTGTGTACAGCCCTGTTTTAAATCTTATCTGCTATTATAATAAGTGATGAAATATTTCAATTGTCCCATGTCACCTTCATTATTCAGTTCCTTTCAAGAAAATACAAAATGTGAAGCAAGTTTTTTCGCAGATGCATGTACGCCTTGCGTACCTATTTTTGTAAATAGGGGAGACAAAAGCGGTTTTAAGTTCCTCTGGGAAGATGCCCTGTTGCAAGGATCTGTTGAAAATTTTTGTCGATGTAGGACAGATTACTTCAGCAGAATCCTTAACTAATTTAACATTTATTTTATCTGGACCAGCCGCCTTTGATTCTTTTAAACCACATAGCAACTTTAGAGTGTCAATTTCACTAACCTCGCTAAAGGAAAAGGCATTATGTATGAAGTGTTGAACATAATCAAAATAGCTTTTTTCAGTCTCTGGTAAACGTTCTGAAAGCGACGGACCCACACTGACGAAAAAAGAGTTAAAAGCTTCAGCAATGTTTTTGTCACCTGTTATAGTTTCTTCGTCTATTTTATAGTGGATACACTAGTTGCTTTTTAACCTTTACCTCGAATGAGGTTGACACTTTCCATAGTTGCTTTGGGTTGTTGCTATTGTTGTTTATGGTATGCTGGAGATGCTTTGATTTAGCTTTTTTCTATTATTTTGTTGGTTTTGTTTCGAGCAATTTTATAGGCTTCATAAAAATACTGAGATTTAGTGCGGGTTGCTTTATGTTTTAAATAGTCTCGATGATTCATCAGTTTCTTAATTTCACTAGTCAGCCATGGTGTGTGTTGACTTCTAACTTTACGCGTTATTAATGCGCCTTATATGGTATATTGACATTGTTTATTTAACAGCATTATTATATTGACATTATCATAAACACCGGAACTTCCGCTTTATCGCTAGTAACTCATGTGACTGCTTGTACTTCGAGTATACGAATTGCTCTGTAAAAACATACAGTTTTATCGTTCGTTATTTGTGAGTCTTTCTTCTCTACTGGCGTGGTGGCAGCGATTTATTTCCTTATCCTTCGATCTCTAACATAGCAGAGATCATAATACACAGCTCAGAAGAAAGTTTCTCGGACCAAAACAAGGTAAAAGCGAAGCAGTTTTCAACTGTTCTACGAATCAGAGCTCGTACAGCAAGACCTCGTGAGTGCCCATACTAAACGTAAGTCAATTATTCGTATAGTTAGTTGTCTTTCTCGTTAGTATGGCAAGCAACCGTGCCCCAAAACAGTGGTCTCTCACAAAACACGAAACAATAACATCGTTTGAAGCATGGCGTCAAAATTTACAATATACATTATCGTTAGACCCAAACTTCGCCCCATTTTTGATCGATGGGGTAACTTGGCTGAGAAAGACCACCACCGCCCCCCTTCGTGGTTTCGGAAATGATTCCGATACCGTACCCGTAACACGTCGTCGTACTGCAGAGCAAAAAGCAGCCAAACTGGAGCTTATATTGGGCCAAATAGCCAATTTTTGCCCTGTAATTTCCCGAAAAACTATTGTCAAAAACTCGACATCTTTGAGCACTATTTGGCAATCAATTCGAGCTCACTTTGGGTTTCAGTCCACAGGTGGTCATTTCTTAGACTTTAATAACATTCACTTAGAAACTGATGAGCGTCCGGAAGACCTTTACCAAAGGCTTGTTAGCTTCATTGATGACAATTTGCTCAAAGCTGATGGTGGTATTCGACACCATGGTGAAAACGTTACAGCTGATGAAGACATCTCCCCAACAATGGAGAACATAATTGTGTTGACATGGCTACGCCTTATCCATCCTTTTTTACCGGCTCTAGTCAAACAGCGCTATGGTGCTGAACTTCGATCACAAACCGTTGCGTCCCTCAAACCTGAAATTTTCCAAGCACTAGACTCCCTCCTTGACGAAATTAACTCCGCCAACGATGCAAAAGTCCTCCGTACTGCTCTCCAACAATCCCTCAAACACCCTCAATCCAGTAGTCGCCGTCAAACCCCTACAGCCCTACCACGGACATCCAAAACCCCAACAAAAAGTTACCCCTTGTGCAGACAAGCCGGTCGACAACACCAACACTACCTGAGTAGATGCCCCTACCTCCCAGTTGAAGACAAGCAATACCTCTCCCGCTCAAGACAGGTAGTCGGCACAGAACCGGGAGACCCGCTATCTGATTGCGAAGTAGACGACCTGTGGGATTCCCACAACTACCGAATCAAGACTACCACCAACCGAGTTAGTGTTAAGCAGTCACCCCATCTCCAGGCCTTCTATGCCCATCACCCACTACTCTTGACATTAGACACAGGAGCAGAAACAAGTATGATAAAGACCAGCATTGCCAATGAAATTGGAGCTCCTATAGAGAAGACTACTCAGAAAGCCCTCCAAGCAGATGGTATTACTCAGTTAGCCGTCGTCGGAGAAGTCCATTTGACTTTTTATCTTTAAATATAATAGTAAATTTGAACTTCCCGCTGAAATTCGTGAGGCGTCAACAGTGGAAACTTTTAAAAGCAGACTTAAGACCTTTCTTTTTAAAAAGGCATTTTATCTTTAAATATAATAGTAAATTTGAACTTCCCGCTGACATTCGTGAGGCGTCAACAGTGGAAACTTTTAAAAACAGACTTAAGACCTTTCTTTTTAAAAAGGCATTTTATCTTTAAATATAATAGTAAATTTTAAACATGTATATATAGGTATCATCTCATACTTTATAACATTTTATTTGAATTTGTAATGATAGCGCTTTAGAATATTTATAGTGTTTAGCGCTTTATAAATTAATAAATTATTATTAATTATTATAATTACTTTGTCCCGCAACCACCTTAATTTGCAGTTGGATGCACTTGTCGTTGATAGTTTGGACGTCGATGTAATAGCCGCGACTCCTTTCATGATCACCAATGACATCTCCCTCCGGCCATCCAAGCAAGATGTCACCATTCAAGGAAGCGAGAACGTGTATTATGGCTCCAGACAACCAGCTGGGACCATAGGCTCGGTCCGACGAACACAGGATACAGTCCTTCGTGCCCCATCGTACTCCACCGTAATTTGGCTGGGACAGTACCTTGAATTAGACCTTCCCGATCACGTAGACCCGGATTCTATCCTTGCCCTAGAACCCCGTAAGGATTGTTCTAGATCAGACTGTGAGTGGCCAAGCCCCCATATTGTACAGGCACTCGCAAGAAAGATCCGTATAACCAATCAGACCCCTCGCCCTAAACATAACCCTCGTCATGACCATCTGTGTCAGATCCTACCAACCAACATCCCATATCCACACCCCGACGTTCCCAAATCCAGCAACAGCAACCCAGTAGCACCCTCCTCTCCTACACCCATGAACATTCCTTATCTGTCCAGCTAGACCCCGATTCTATCCTATCAAAGAGCATGCACTCTGAATTCAGCCGGTTAGTTAAAGAATATGACGATGTTTTTGATAAAATTATCTCTGGATACAACGGTGCAGCCGGCCCCTTTGAAGCTGTCGTAAATATGGGCCCAGTGCAACCACCACAACGCAAAGGCAGACTCCCCCAATATGCGCCGAACAAGCTGGTCGAGCTTCAACACAAATTTGACGAGCTTGAATCGCTAGGCATTTTCCAGACCCCTGAAAACCTTGGCATAACCGTTGAATACCTTAATCCATCATTCCTCATTAAAAAGCCAAGTGGAGGACACCGACTAGTCACGGCCTTTGATGATGTTGGTCGATACAGCAAGCCACAGCCGTCATACCCGATGTCGATTCTACCCTCAGAACAATCGCCAAATGGAAGTACATCATCGTATCTGACCTTACCAGCGCTTTCTATCAGATACCACTTGCTAAAGGTTCCATGAAGTACTGTGGCGTCGTGACGCCATTCCGCGGCGTTCGAGTCTACACCCGATCAGCTATGGGCATGCCAGGGTCAGAAACAGCCCTCGAGGAGCTCATGTGTCGCATACTCGGTGATTGCCTAGAAGATGGAATCGCTGCAAAGCTTGCAGACAACTTGTACTGCGGTGCAGACTCACCTGAGGAACTGCTCAACAACTGGAATAGCATCCTAGACGCCCTCCAGAAGTGCAATATCAAGCTTTCCCCATCTAAAACCATTATTTGCCCACGCAGTACTAGCATCTTAGGCTGGATTTGGACACAGGGATGCCTATCCACAAGCACCCACAGAATTGCTACAATGTCATCGTGTCCGCCTCCCGATACGGTACGGGGTCTTCGCTCTTTTATAGGAGCCTACAAAGTCCTCGGACGTGTTGTACCACAGTGTGCACACATCATCGCACTATTGGAAAGTTCCATCGCAGGACAACAATCATGTGACAAGATCAAGTGGTCAGATACTCTGCCCAATAATTCAAGTTCGCTCAATCCTTCTTGGCGAATAACAAATCCATTACCCTTCCCAAACCATCCGACAAACTATGGATAGTAACCGATAGCTCTGTAACCAAAAGAGGAATAGGAGCCTACCCTTTACGTATCACGCCATCAAACCCTCCTCCTCGCAGGATTTTTCAGTGCCAAGTTAACAAAGCATCAGGTGAACTGGCTGCCATGTGAGATTGAAGCATTAATCATCGCTGCCGCCGTAAAGCACTTTAGCCATTTCATAATCCAATCACATCATCCCGCTTGTATCCTCACAGATAGCAA